CATGCATTTCCTACATCAGCACATCGCCATTATCACATCTAAGAAAATTGACAATTCCTCAATACCATCTAATATCCAGTCCATAATGAAATTCCCCCAAAATGTCTTTTACAGCTATTTTATCTTTTGAGCTAGCATTCAAGGAAAGATTCATGTGTTGCATTTGGCTGTGATCTCTCTTTCACCTCCTCCCACCACCAATATATATATATATATATTTTTTAATGGTGTTAACTTTTTGAAGACATCAGGTCAGTTGTCTTATCAAATTGCCTCATGGCATCACCAAAGTTGTTCTTGTATCCTCTGTAAGCTTTAGGAGTTCGGTCTAAAACCTTGATTGAATTAAGGCTGAAACATCTCCCTTATTAATCTCTTGGCTTTGGGCAGGGGATTGGTGAGAAAGGAGAAAAGGGCCTAGGAAATGTGTGAGCACGCAACTGGTCTGGCTGGTGACAGTGAGGCTGGCCAGAGCCAAGGGTTGTTCTGGAGGGTAGTAGACAGAGGCTGAAGGCCTGGGAGGCCAGCTCAGGCACCAGCCACACTGTGGGCCAAAGCCTGGCATCCGCAAGCCCTGGAGGTCTGACCTTTCCACCCTCCATTGCTAACAGGCTGAGCTCATTCTGAGGTCAGATGCATGGTGCGCAGGCAGGAATAGAACACACTCCTCCCTGTTCTGCCAGAGGGAGGAGGCCACACTGCCCAGACAAAAGGAAATCAGTGGGAGCAACCAAGAGGTGCCCTGAAAATCTGGCCCTTTGCCCTTCATCCCCAAAGCCTCGCCCAGATCTCGGAAAATTCCCCCCAGCTGCTTCTACGGAGGGTGGGACCCATGCTTTTTCTCTGAACTTTTCAGGACCAGTGAGCACAAGATTGGGACACATTTGAGCTCAAAGAAGCTGCCTGGATAGGTAGTGAGTTTCCCGTCCCTGCAGGAATTCAAGATGTAGGTGTATGACAACGGATGGAACTAGATGGCCTTCCAGCCCGAAATGAAAGAGTTCCTCTACTTTATTAAAGATATTATGTTGCAACAGAGAGGCGTTTTGGAGTCAGACTACTGTCCTGGTTCTGCCACCCTGGCTGGGGACCTTCCTCCTCTGTTAATTCCTCCCTCCCAGCTGGGGTGCTGTGACCCTGAATGACAACAAGTTCTCCTGCGGTAACTGCCACCTCCTCCTGGGGCCCCCCGCAGAGCTAATTAGTGCTTGGCTGCTTATCTTAAGCTTTAGGTATGTATGTTTTCTCTCTCCAGTTACTAGATTGTAAATTCCCAGATCATCCAGCTCCTTCCGACCCCTGCACAGCCCCACCCCACCCCATCCTGTGCAGCAGGAGCCTCATGATGACCCTGGTGGAATAATTTCCCAGTATGGGAGGAGGGCAACAGCCAAGGTCGGGCACAAGGGGGTGCCTCTTTCAGGAATTTCGTCCAGGGCTGTGACTTCACCTTGCTGAGGTCTGGAGTTTCAGTTTCAGGCTGATATTCCGCCCCTACCTGCAGGATGAGGGTCTGGTCTTCACCCTCCCCCATGAACTCTTCTGGGTCCAGGCCCTTCCTCTGCTTTGTTCTTCCTTCTGGTCCTGCCACCCCATTCCCTCCTTGTCACCAGGATGCCCAAGGCCTCTGACCCCAGTGATGGTCTCACGCTGGGGCCTCAGGAGTCCCTTGGTGTTGACAGCACAGTATGGACAAGGGACCAGTGCCTGCAGAACCACCCCAAAAGCCTACCCACAGCCACAACCCTCTCCAGATACCACATTATTCGGCCCCCCAGCTGCCCAGTGGGCAGATATTACAATCCCATTTACAGTACACAAGGGGTCTTCTAAAAATTCATGGGTAGATTAGTA